CAACCCCAAGTTAAGTCTCTCTTCTGCAAGGTGCAAGGAACCATGTAAAGGTTTTGCAAAAGTAGAAGCAGCAACATAAAGATCTCTGAAAGCTGCAGTAAAAAAGGGCAGAGTGCAATTGCCACAGTCATTAGCTGCAGCAATAACACTGCAGTTTTCTTCAGCTATTATTTTTCTCTGCAATTTTCAGACCACCTACCTTTCAACTAAAAATGAGGTTTTAAAAGAGCCTCCCTTACCACAAACTGACCTTTCAGAACTTCTTCGGCACAACCAGTCTGAATATTTGCACATCTCCCATCACCCAAGTATTGTAGTGCCTCTTTCTCACCTCACTCTCTATGGTGTTCCTTGCTTCAGGTGAAAAACTGAGACACAGGGAAAAGATAAGTAACATGCCCAAGGTCCTACTGTAAATCTGTTAAGGAGAGACACTGAAGCAAAGGTCTGCAGCTCCTGGACTAGAAATGCTACAGCTGGATCACCCAACCTCTCTTAACACATACATAAGCAAAAGGTAGGATTGAAAGCTGCCAGGAAAAGATAAAAATGACCACAAACAGAAAAGATCTGCATAGTCTTAATCACCGTACTCTTGTAACTGTCTCAAATAGGCAACACTTAACATGTAACTTTCACTTTTATGTATCAATAACCATTAAATTATTTCCTGTAGTTCCAGTGTCAAAACAGGCACACCTTGACTCAAAACACTTCCAAATGCAAACATGCTGCCCACCAAAAACCAAAAGCAAATGAACACTAAAAAAGGAGCGAAAGATGTGACTGCAATAAGTAGAAAAATTAATCATTTTACAGACCTAACAAAAACTGCGCAAAGGCAGGACTCCAGACAGAAGGACAGTGCTATTTTCTATCTTAAAACAGCCCACCTTTTTAAGTTTTACCAACCAAGAACAAAACAGAAACATTGAAACCAGATTTTTCTGCAGATTACAGTGCAGCCCTACTGGTTTACACAGAGAAGAAGATCATTATGTTCTGTTCCTTAAACTGATCTATGGTTAAACAGGGACTTCTGTGGAACCATGAAAATCAAAGGGCAGAGTCTACTAAAAATGTTTTGTAGCTGCCTGGTCACATACAGTGAACTGCCAAAAATTTGGCATCAGTATTTTTATCTCTTGAAGTGCAAAACGTGGCTTGCAGAACTTTTTCACCGCCAGCAGAGCAAACAGAATAGATGAGACAGACACCACTAGGTCATTGGCACTGTAACTAGGAGAGCAGGGAAAATATTTTGAAAAATTAACATCATCCTGCCTTCCTGAAGTTTAGGGGAAAAAAAAAAAAGCTATATTTCCTTGGAAGAAAAACTGGGGGTTAGATTTTTCTTATTGGAAAAAAGAAACTTTTGCAGCTGTATAAATGGCCTTGTGAACATCCTCTTTCCAAACCAGCTATGCAAAACAGGAAGGATTTATAAATGTTTAAAAACACATGCCCAGCTAACACTGTCACATGCCCAACAGTAACAGCATTCAGCTGTCACCTCCTAAACCCCCTCCCAAAACGTACAGCGTTGCAGACTCTGAGGATGACAATGCCTGGCAATAATACATATGCTTAATATTGAAAGGAAAAAAAGTCTTTTTTTTTGTTGCTTTCCATTTTGTTTCTTTCATTCACTCTCCCCAACTGGATACTGTTTTTGTCTCTCAATCTTTCCAGTGTGTTTTATTTCAGTGAAAATAAAAATATTTTCTTCCCCCCTCCCCCGCCCCCAACCACAAAACAGATCTCTAACAATTTCCAGGGGAGACAGAGAGAAGGGGAAGAAGAGTGGCAGGTGTGACTAGCACTGAACTCAGGAGTCTCCATATAACCCCCTATTCAGCCTGGTCTAACATAGTGTTGTGCCCCACAGTTTACTTCTATTCCTTCAATTCTTGAATATGGCAAATGCAAGAACCATCATCTGTAGTTTATGTGGCTTCTTATCGGGCCACCCCCACCCTGACACTCACAGCGGTGGGACCCCAGGGGCTCTCCAGCAATCCTGGAGGACAAGAAGCCTCTTGAGAAAAAAATTGAACTGAATTCTTAAAACTGAACTACAAGACTCAAACAGTGCCTAAGGCAACCAGGTCCCAGCCCAAAGATGAAGACAACAGGGAGCAAGGACAGCTGGTACACTCTTAGCATCCAACTGACTGTTGCGACTATCCCTGCAAAGATACTCCCAAAACTTTCTTGGGTATGGGGAAAGAGCCAAAATAGTCAATATGCTTGAAAGGGCAGGCTGGGGAATAAAACAGAGAGCAGGAACAGCAGAGCCCTTCCAGGAGCCAACGTTTCTTCAAAGGTCCCTTCCAACGCAAACCTTTCCATGATGAGACTGATTTTTGGTAAAGGTGTCTAAAAGCAAGAACCACATGGAAAAAGAAGTGAGATGTGGAAGTGGGGCAGTTTGTACCCATTCAGAGAGTACTCACATTCTCACCCTTAGAAGTCCTCTTTGATTTACGCATCCAACTTCCTAGTGAGATTCCAGAGTTTGCTCGTTTCTATTCATTCTTCTTCACTCAACCCCCCTTAGCTGTTTTCCCTCTTGCTCTCCCCCACTGACAACCATTTCCATTTCTCTCCTTATTCCCCACTGTGTGCTCTTCCTGCCAAAAACATCACTGTTTAACAACATTCCCAAGCAAACAATTTTTTGAAAGTAATTTAAAAGAATCCATGGTAATAAAACTACAATAGTAAGCAATATGGTTATACGAGTCAGGTTAGAACATACGTGGATTTCTACATTAAAATAAACCAACAAAACCAGCTTAAGTCAACTTATAAATTTCTGGTTGTCACCAAACTCTATTTCCATCCTTCCTCATCCCTCCCCACTTCCACCTTTTATTGCACGCCTGATAGCCCACTCACTCCCCAGCCTGCACTTCAGCCCCATCAGATCTCACATGCAGTGCTGACTGGAAGCCCTCCAGGCCTTGCTGAGGTCAATGGCAAAATTCCATCGGATGTCTATGTTACGAGCGTTTCAGCCAACTTGAGTATGTAACTGAGAGATGGGCAAGGAGAGCCCATGGTGCAGCCGGCAGTGAGTCAATGCTCCAGTCCATACATAGGGCAACCAAGTTCTCAGTTACGGTGTCGTACTTCTAATACAAGCAGACCCGATTTCGCTGCAGCTTCTCCACAAACAAGTCAACTTCTTAAATGTACTACAAGGTAATTAGAATTTAGGGGAGAGCAAGTGGGCTGGGTTTTTTTCAGGTAAGAGGTACAACGGGGAATTTTTCTTAGTTTAATAAGAGCCGAGCCTGTGCTTAGGACAAAAAGTATTTATATACACTTGTATATGTACAGATATATGTATTCCTACACATTTATATCAATATTTATAATTTTACTTTATACATACATAAGATGCCTAAGAAAATACATTCAAATAAAATTTTAAGCACCTAAATCTTGTTCGAAGTTGTATGCAAATTCACCATTTTTTTTTCACCCAAAAGCTCCTCTAAGAATATACACTCTGCCACTCCTAACAGTATGAACCATGGCCAAAGTCGCTTGCTTGCTCCCTGCATAGGACTCAGGATCTGCTGCAGCTGCCCATCCAAGCATCCTAGAGGAGACTGAGCTGGTCTGAAGCCAGAGCGCCTGGCTCCTATTCCAGCTGTCACAACCAGCGCTGTGCAAATGATGCCTTAGAAGGAAAAGGCATTTCAGGGGTCAGAAAAAGAAATATCAGCTATAATTTCAGGGTGGAGAACTTCCATTCTGTCAAATTTTAAGCTACCTTATGTTCCCTCCAGATGGTATAACTGGAGCAGAGACTGCAGCAGATGTGGCTTCAGATCAGCAAACCATAATCACTCCTCAATGGCTCCACACCCTCCTACGCTGAGATACAGTCCAATACTTCAGTCTTGCTTGACAAAACAGATTTGATCATACAGGCACTAACATCTCATGTACATGCACTGCATTTTTGAGCAAGGCAAGGACTGCTACGCTATCCTATGCTCAAAAGCACTAAAGTCAGGATAACTATGAATACCAGTATTTTTGCTACTACTCCCAATTCCCTTATGCAGCTCCCATACTCCTTGGATGGGAGAGTGAGACAAACATGATTAAATGGTTGAAGTACAGGCATTTGGCATAACAATGACTAGAAAAATAGATAACTAGATGATGATTTTAATGAGAGATTATTAAAATCATCTGCCAGCTTCTTATCTTACAACTGTGTCTCTGAGTTTACATCAGCTCATTTCCCTCTAAAATATACTGCCCCCATTCATGCACGTATATCCTCTCCCTTTCCACACACACAGAGTGACTCTTCATTTTGCAGCCAACAAAGTTTGCATATGGGTTGTCTGAATGCCACCATCTGGGCTGCTCTTTCTGAGCTCATCGCTGGACCACAGGCAAGTGATGCCAGCCTGGAGCTCTCTGCCTGGCACAGCAGCTCCCACTGGCAGAGCTTAGTTACTCATTGTCTTTTTTTCCACCTTGCTGTGCTTTGCCTGAGCCCATGTTTGCACATTGTTCTTGGAGCTTTCCCCAAACTTAAAATACTCACCTTTCCATTTGAGTTTCAGTCTCTAAATGTACTGTCTAGTGCAACCAGCTATATTGTCCTAACAGCCCCACAACTCACTCACCGCTGCGGCATCTAAACATTTCTACATGCTTCATTTCATCTTCAATCACATATATTGGCTCTATTAGAAATTGTTTTCAAGAATGCTGTTCCTACAACAGTTAACATACTACTGAAAAATCCTAGGGTATCATGATACTGTTGGATACACCACCTATCTATATGAGAGACGCTTTGAAAGAGGTTCCCTCTCTGACATAGATATAATTTACTGATCTTCTGCCAAGCTAGGCTGCAATGTCAATGACCTTCACCTCTTTTAAAGAAACTACCTTGTGTGTATTTGTCATCACAGTGTATCTCAATGGCTTTGGGGAAGTCAAAATGATTAATTATTTCTTACCTATGCTCAACAGGACATGATCTTCATTTTCTTTAGCAGGAACCACAGAGTCTCGGAAAGGCTAGAAACAGAAAATTTGAGCTATATCTTTGAAGACAAATAGTTGCATTTGTGCTTAGTTACAAGCTGTGCTATAGGCTTTCAGAATTCAATTCAAACACTATCAAGCAGCAGTCACTTAATTTTAGCCATTTTAATAAATGCAACAGATACGGCATGCCACTCAGGCTCCAAGATATGCACATGAACCCTATGGACTCAAACTCTAAACACAATCAAAGAAGTGACAAAACCATATCTCACTTTTCATGCAAACTCCAGTTTTCAGCCTGCTCTTCTCTTACAAAGTTTAACTGTGCCCTGACTAGTCAATATGCAGTGTTTTGAAGGAAAGAGGAATGTATGTAAGATGCCTCCTTCTCTAAAGCCTGACCTGTTCACACCTGTAGAAATATCAAAGGTCAGTTCATTCTTTATATAGTCAACTACAGTCTTTCTGCTAGATCAAAACAAGAGACAGTCAATGTGGTACCAGAACCCTTTTAGCCCAGCAAGACTCGTGAGCTGCAACACTCTGCCCCAACGTACATTTTCAACATAGACTCCAAAATGCATGTATATTGCAGAGATATAATTCTGAGATGACTTAGATTACAATAGCAACATGTGAATCTGAAACAAATGGTCAATCTTCTGCACAGCTGGCAATTAAAAAAAACAAAACTAAAGAGGTCATCACTTTTATAATAATGACCTAACAAAAGTGGCAGTCCAACAACATTCCACTAAATTCGAATGTTATTTAAAAAAAATAAAAAAAAAATCAAAGAGTCATTGGCCATAGAGAAGATACCACCTTTACCAGATTTGCCAGATTTTACCAGGTTTTGTTTCTCTCAACCTAAATCATTATTTTAGCTTCACACCCAGCTGAGCTAATAATCAAGCTCCTCCTTTAAAAGGTGATAAAAAACCACTGAGACGGATTTTCTGGTTTTATAAACAGATACATATACATAAATAGCAGAATACAAGACTAGAGATCAAATAGAACTGACTATCCATAATGGGACTTCTCACAAATATTGGTCCCTCCCAAAAGCTGTCAGATACCTCCATGTAGAAGACAACAGGAACTGCCTTATTTTTTACGTCAAGCATTTTTCCCAGTTAAGTCCAGTTAAGGACTCAGTTACCCACAAGGTCTCTCTCAGAGACCAGCTCCTCAGATGTAATGCATCATGCCATCTCAAGGATGAAGCTTGTGTGAGACAGGTTGTGCTCCCCCCAAACTGGCAGCTGAGCTGCAAGCTCCCTGAAGGCACTAAGGTTCACCACAAACACAGGAGCTTTCTGGTTCAAAAGCAGAGCTTGCTTCTCCAACCTAGCCTTCCAGCCCACAACCACATAACAAGTTCCATCAAATAATAATCATCTATACACGTAACTATATCCCCCAGGATAGGAACAGGCAGGAAATGTTGTCTGGCAGGCATTAATCACCTTATTTACTTGTTAGCTCTAGGAGGGACTCAGATAGCCAAGCAGAGGTTGCTGCTTCTCAACCTAAATGAAGCTTAGCTATTTGTATAAGGAGAAATCTTTACCTTCATATCATCCTGGCACAATTCATCAGATGCCAAGTTCACAGGACCTGTAAAAGCAAAGATTCCTGCCTTTAATAACAAGCAAATTCAGTTTGGGTCTGCTTTGGTTTCTGCTGCTGGTCTCTCTCCTTTTTCGAACAGGAGGGGGGACACACAAGGAGCGGGCAAGCAGGCAGGCAAACCAGAACAATGGACATGGGCAGCCCATGCATCTCCCCACAGCAGCGTTCCCGTGGGCAGCGTGCGAGCTGGATGCACAACAAGTGCTATGTTATTGTCACAGTTATGTTCAGGCTAGGCAAGCACAGCGATTTGTCAGCCAGCTGCAGATTAACCCCCACATGCTCAGAAAATCCACAGTTCTAGCACTGTGCCTCACACCAACTCTGCAGAGCAACTGGGCTCTGCTTTCCTTCTGCAGGGGCTTCATGCATTTTCTGAAATTAGTAGACCTTGCATTTTCACTCCAAAAAGTGAAAAATAACTTCAATTCTGTCAGTCTTTTTTTTTTTTTTTTTTATGGTTTCTTCCCAGGGCTGTGGGGAAGGACACAGCACATGCAAAACAAGGACCACGCTTTGCAAGTTTTGCCCAAATGCAGCCTCAGGGACTATTGTGAAACAGCAAAGAGGAGTAATCTGGCTACAGGAATGCAAATGAACATCAGCATGACTCAGGCTTCCAGGAACGTTATTATTTAGTAAATATATCTTAAATAATTATTTAGCCAGAGTTATGGTGGTAAGTATATTTCATTTTATATTAAATCTTTCAACTCAAGGTTCACATCTGTTCTCAGATACACAAATCCCCCTCCATTCTCCAGCTCCAGCAAATAGTTAAACTAAGTATGACTCAGCAGCCAGTACAGGGTGCTTTGGGGGGACTGCCTTGAGGAATGTGGGGTTTTGGGACCTCTGTCCTTTCTTGGCATTGCACCAAGTCTATACTCAAGTTTTTTAAAAAAGAGCTGTATCAATATATCTTTGGAAAAACAATTCAAAGACAGCTGCCTATTACCTAAATCACACGATCTTCAACAATGACAACCCTAACTTGCAGTCTCTGTGAGATGAAGTTCTGGGACGCAATTATGGGCCCACTGCAATCAGTGCACCTGTTGTCCCTGACCTCAGCAGTGTCCCCAGACACTGGCAGGAGTCAGGACTGGGTCCATGCTGATCAGTATCTCGATCATTAATTTTTAGTTAATCCAGCTTCTTTAATTAACCTTCCGCAGCAGTCACATGTATACCTCCCCTTGCATCTAACAGTGCAATCACAGAGCACAAAATCGCTAGTGCCGTCAAAGCATCCCAGGCATCACCTTTCTGCTAGAAGGAACAGACTATTTCTTCTGTAACTTAACTGCAGAAACTTACTTTAAAAGCTTCAATGGGAAGATATTTTTTAAAGTATTGCCATACAGTTGGCATTATTATTATTATTATTATTCAGTCTCACAGTTCTCAGAAATAAAAAGCTGTTTGCTCTATACCTAATATTCTGTAGAAGCACATGGTTTATCCTCCAGATAACAGTATTCAGTCAACTCATGGGCATGGAATTTCAAGGTCAGAAAACAGAAAAAAAGCACAAACTACTGAATTAGCCAAAATACCATCTATTTCACCTTTTGTTCTGCATCCTCACTGGATAATGTATCACACCATGTATTTGAATTTAATTAAGTTGCTATGGGAGATCCACTGCTAAGATAGTAGCATCACCTTACACTGACCCACTGCTTTCATATGATTGCATTTCACAAGAAGCAACATACTGCTATAGCAACCTCTACTCGGTAACAGCTCAGGGCTTCTTACAGAATTGTGTTTTAAAGGTCTGTTGATCTTGACTTTAGGCCCACCCAGAAGTGTGTAGTTACTGCTTCTTGGAATGGCAGCAATTTTAAAATCTAAAGGAGATCCTTTCATGACATGAATGTACCAAATTAACGTCCTGAGCTTAGCAGTCACTTTATAAAGGAGTTCACTAAATGCAACTGAGAATGTAGTAAAAAGTACTCTGACAATCATTTCATACCATTTCTGCTTCTAGCAGCAACACTTTTAACTCAGTCTTGAAAAAATTTCTTTTGGTCTCCTGAATGCTGGCAAATGGAGAGTGTAAGGCAGGCTACTAGCCACCAGTAATGATCATTCATGATTTTTCCATATCTGGATTTGGTGGTGGTTAGCGAAAGAGGCCAAAAAAAAAAAAAAAGTCTCATTTATAGAAATATGGTAACCAATGACAGTAGCAAAACGCAAGAAAGTTAAAAAACTTTGCTGCCCATCAACGTACAAACAATAGTTACAGGCTCCTCATGTCTACAGGTAGATAACATAGAGTGTAAAATGTGCAAGCTTGATTACTGCAATTTGTTTGTATAGGTCCTGGATACTACCAAAACACGGCATACTTTTCTTGCTGTTGAACTGAAATGAGTTTTTTTTTTTTAAAAAACAGGCATAAAATAACTCTCATGCATAAAGGCACAAAAGTGTATAGCTTCACTGAAAACACAAATAGGTAGGTGTGCCTATGCCAAGTATCTTTGGCATAAAAAGAGAACAAGAAGCTTTACAATCAGACCCAAAATGAGACTAGACATCCCAAACTGGTGATTCTGTCTGGGTAATCAATATCCACTAATGTCTGTTATCTGCTTGTGCCAAGTCAGCCTGTATTAAAACTGCTTTTAGTGAAAAATATCAAAGTAATCATCACCTAGAAGTTGTATTGCCCAAGCTACCGCCACATGTAGTGCCACCAATCTAGGATATTCACTTTCCGTCCCTGAGGAGCAGCATAAAGATCAGGCTGGTCAGCGTACGGCACTCAGATGAATACCCAGAGTCAATGCGTTTGCACACTGTGTCACCGAAGTCAAGCACAAACCTTGTATGGTGAATTGCCACTTATACTTACAGTAACGGATGCTTAGTTTGCAACTGCTAACAACTGCTTATCATTTCTCTGCAATTTTGCCTTCCAATGGCAGAACACTTGTTGCCTGAACACTGCTGGAGAAGTTGGGTGTAAAACTCTTTTTCCAGCACTAACAATGGCAGCCTACATGTTTGAACACCAGCTACACAACGACTGTGTCCCCATTTTATCCATTCACTTAAAGTTACTAGCTGATGCCATCTGGAACTGCAGTCCCTTTTCTCTCTCTCAGTCTGGTCCTGATCTTGTCGGCAGTTTATGCAGGTGCTCACACTTCTGCTGCCCTCAGCAGGGCTGCCTCCAGCACAGCCACTGAGCAAGACCAAGCCTCCTGTAGAAGTCACAGTCTTCAGCTTGCTGCTTCATCCAAATATACAGCGCCAGCCACATAAGCAAAGGGCCAACTGATGCAAACTTTTAATAAATTCCTAACAATCAGATGTAAACACCCAAAGTGTCATACTTCTGATGCTGAAGAATGACCTTTTTCTGTGATTTTTCTTTTCAGCTCTAAGAGATGCTTGCTCCAAGGTACACAGGGATGTATTTTGGTAATGAAAAAGCGTTCCCATCAGCAAGCACAGTCCCACAACCCTTACAGAGGTAAACCGCTCACCAAAATATGGAATGTCTAATTGAAACACATGGGAATTTTGCCACATTAAGAACTCTGGGCTGGATCCCAAAACTATTCATACAAAGTGTTACTCTGCTCCTATCTTCTGTAACTTCAGTTATTTGGCTTTACTGGAATTTGCAGGCTGGAGTGTTCATTCAGTTAAACACTGCCCTCTCCTGGAATCTTCTGACATTTTCCTGGCTCTTAGAATAAAATTAGTTAAGGCATTTCCAGTCATTATAAATGCTATCATATTTTGTGAACAATTTCAGTCTGACATTGGAAAACCGATGCTCTGTAGGGAGTATCACAATTTACACAACTCTCATAATGTATGACTTGCCTATTCCACTGTTGCCTACTTACAGGTCTCTAATGTCATATGAAACATGTGATCTTCCTGAATAAATAAACAGTGTATGAATCTGTGCCAACTTTCCAGAGCTTTTTAAGACTGCAACATTATGGAATAAAAAACTGTACCTTCTACAGAGCTTGCTGTACTGCAGAGCATTTTTGGACCTTCCACTGTCTCAACTTGTTTTGAATTAATACTCTATTAAAAAAAAAAATCAAAATGGCAGTAACTGTATTTGATGCCCATGACATTTACCTGAAAACTCAAAAACAATATCAAAGACTAGCAAACATATGTGTTGTAAGCAGTGCTGAAACGAAACGATCGACAGAAATTCCACGGAGTATTTTATCGGTTACCCTCCAGAGGAAACCGATACAAATTCCTCAAGACGGAAACTGATAAAATATTTTCAACTACAGAGACAAATTACCTCCTGCTTACCATACACAAGGAATCTAAAGGATCAGATTTAACATTCTTACTTCATTGTTTATAAACTCCTTCTCTATGAGAAAAGCAGCACAGCAGCTTTGCACTACAGCTCCGTTCAGAAGCCTAGTTAACCTTGAAAGCATCCCTATAAAGTGAGGAATTTTGACAGATAGGCAATACAAAGAGCCTAAACCAGCACTAAACACTGACTATATGGCAAACCCAGACTGGAAGGGAGAAGCCGCTCCCTCTCCACGTCCATGGTCCCTGGCCCGAGCTGACCCCTCGCTCAGACACACTCGCTGACTGTATCACTCCTGTTCAAAAGGAAGACAAGCCTAAGATCCAGTCCCTTATTTTAGCAATTATGTTCAAAGATTATAAGCAAAAGGGTGGAGGAGAAAATGTCTCCTTTTGCGTAGTTTCATCCACAACGCTGCTTGCTTCTAGTCCTTCCCTCTAATTAGGTTGCCTGTGTATCTGCCATCTACCAGAGCAGAGAAAAGGCATGGTAACCTGAATACGAAAGAAAACTTCAGAGATTACTCTGGGCTGAATATTGCACCCAAACTGATTTGAAAGCCATGCAGCTGTCAAGCTAGCTATATCCCCTGCCTCGGTGGGGCTACTTGCATTTTTCTCTGCTTGTCTATTGGTGCGCAAGACACTTGCCTATTCCCATACCTATCAGGCAGAAATAAGCCAATTCCTCCTAGGGAAACCACTAAATCTGTCCACCACCAGGCAACAAAAATACTTAAATTATCGGAAATTATCTTATTCATTTTGGATTATTTGGTTTGGCCTTCCTTCTTCCTTATTACCCTGACACCACTTCACATGTGTCCATTAGTTCCTGGATTTCTTTTCCTCTCTCAGAGGACCTCTCCCCTGCACTGCCTGTGCTGCCTCCAGCAACCGAGACAGCCAAACAGATCACATCCCCGCACTGCTTAGGGCTCTGCTGGGAGCGCACGACGAACCACGCAGCCTCACTGACGGGTCCTGCTACCACCCCGGCAGTTTCTGCCCCAGGGAGGTTGCACAGAGTTCCAGCAATTCCATGCTTTTCCTCATCATCTTCAGAAATCTGTCCTTTGTATCGCCTAGCGGAGCCACAAAAACTTTTTGAACTGCAGGGCCCCTGAAGGTTTCCAGTGAAGGCATGGCTCCTGTATGGGTAACTTTAGCTTACCGACAACTTGTTTGTTTTAATTTTTCCCATTACTCTTTTAGGCTTGTAAGGAATAGTCAAGGGACTAGAAGAACCCACAGACAAGGGACTGAAGAACATACTTGAGAAAGATAGGGATTTCTTGCATGAATGCAAAAATAGTTTGTGCTGCTCTCTAAGTCATCCATTTGACGCACACAAATCCAATGCTGCATGCCACTATAACTGAGAGAAGCTCCTTCTCTTTCGTACACGTCTTCTGACCCAAGCCTAACACAGCAAAGTGGTCATTTATGCAGTCTCAAGATACAATAAACTAGATGTACAGTCTTAGTCTGCTGCAGATGAGCTGAATACTCCAGTACAGCAATAAATTCTACCTCTATTTTAAAAAGACTATGTATCGTGAAATCCCTAATGCCCACCTTACGCTTTGGATCCAACTAATGGCTGCCAGTCCTTGTTTGCAACAGAAAGAAAATTAATTTCACCTCACCTTTTGGACATATCACATAGTCTAAACATGACAGTTTGATCATCCCTCCACATACACTTCAGGATGATATCTAATGTACAGGAAGTGAACTAAACCATGTGACCTTCCCAGTTATTCTGGCTTATTTCTGTTTTATTAAAAGTAGTGCAACACTGATACTGGGCAGAGGGTCCCCACAATGGAGGTTCTGGACTGCTGCAACCAGAGGAATGAGCAAAAGGGAAACCCACAGATGAAGGGTAGTAGGGCTTTTTCTGAAAATATCAAGTGCAGAATTTTGCAGCCTTTAAGAGTCTTTGTCCCTGAAAGCCATACAAACATCTAACATACCACATTTTCTTTTTTCATTTCAAAGACTGAAAGAAGAACAAGGATTTGACGAGTGCAAGAAAAAGCTAACTATGTAAATAACAATGCATTCTTCACTACCATATTGGTTTTGCTATTGGGTTTACAATTGTTTCCATGGAAAAACCACACAGAAATTGTAGGTATTCTGCAAGCTACAAACACAGAACAACTTCTTCATATTGGAACAAATCAAAATCTTGGCAGTGTAGTTCCATGAGATTATACATAAGGACTACACAATACATCACGCATTAAGTTTTTGTGTTAACACATGGGTCACGTTCAAAGTTAAAAAAAAACATGCAGAATGCAATAAAGATAACTCAAGGAAAATCAGTGCACAAATAAGGAAACCTGAAGTTAAGCATGGAAAAGAAAAGCTGAATTTTAAGATCAGAAAAAGAGAAAAGCCTATTTTTAGCGTGGCTTTAGTTTGCTAGTTTTATATAGTCACACAGTCTCAATCTAAAAACATAAGTGAGCACCTGCATTGCTATTAAAGAACTTGCGCTTTCGAGTGTTCTCCTTACTTTACTGAAATTGAGAGATGTCCTGAAGAAAATCACAGCAGTGCTCCAGACATCTTAAAAGTAAAATAAGACCTACTACACCATAACTAAACTCTATAGCAAAAGTCTGTACTCTGTATTTCTGCTATAAATAACAGGCTGGGGTTGGCTCTTGATAAAGGCTCCCAGGCATTACACTACTAGATGAAAGAATGGAACTAAATTAAATATTTAATATATTAATTAAATATGTGCAATTAAAGACAGAGATTTCAGGGAAGGATATTCTCTGTAGAGTGCACAATGATTCAAAAACAACTTGGGAGGTAAAGGAGGCTTTGATAAAGTTCTCAACACCTCTTATCCTCCAGCTTCACATGTACAATGTGCTACACTTACACAAAGTAGAAGCCCACAACAGTAATCCTGCAATTACGCTGGCCATTAATGAGACAGGCAGCTTAAACTAAAAGGCTACTCAAGAAAAACAAATCCAGCCTGAAGAGTCTATAGCTGGAAATTATTGAAGAAAATCTGTGACAATGCCCCGAGCTGGATAGGTACCTACCTGGTAAAGAAGAGGTCTGTCCCAGAAGTATTTTCTGAAGAGCTTAATATCTGACTCCAGCAAGTGCTGTGCAGTGTGGCTAAATGTCAGAGTCAGAGCTCCTGATGAATGAACAAACTGCACACAAGCACCGTCGCTGATCTCCGCTCTTGAAATGTCAGGTGAGTGACCGCCCTGGGAACTGGAACAACACGCTCTTTAAAGCGAAGCAGATGCTCCGCACACAGGTAGAACAAAAGCACGGCCGCAGTGAGCTTCCTGCTCGCCTTCGGCACGGCCCATTGGGATCCCAATGCACCCGCTGCAAAAACCGGAGGCAGAAAATCTGAAACATCCACTGAAAACACAGCTGGGCAAACAAATACTTACCAATGACTCCATTCAGGCCTAAGAACATGCAGCTACTTCTAGTCATTGCGGGGGGGGGGGAGAATGTCAGCTCTAGATGGTTACTCGCTAGTAAAATAAGCCAGAAAGAGCAAGCCGTGACAACACCTATTTCTCCATATTGCTGTAAATTAGCAATAGTACCTTTTCCTGTTAATGTTGCCATATATAGCAGTAGGACATGACTGGCAGCTAGCAGGTTTGTTATCCCACGACAGTGAAAAACAGAAAGTATCTCAAGGGAATACAGCATTGTTTGGACTTTACAAACAAATGAGACATTCATAACATAATGTACCGGACCGGTGTTGTAAGTATTTTTTTTTCAAACTGAAGTACGGATAAGTCTCACATAAACTATACACCGCATGGAGCCAGAACGGAAAGAGACACATGCCAAAATAAAAATGTAACCCAATTCTTGCCTATTTCTATTTGCAAAGAAAAGCCAACATCAAGAAGGGGCATCTGATGCTAAACATTTGGCACCCCAAGACACATACACATACACACCACACAGCTCCTCAGGTCCGTACAGAGGAAACTCCAGACAGCTAAAACACGCCAGAAAGCACTTGTCCTTTAAGTCAGTGTGGCAGCTCGCCAGCAAAATAGGCTCATAGCACTGGCTTTGCTGCTGGCTCTCCCTTATTCACTCAAACCTGAGCTTTACAGGGGTCACAAAGTCTGCTGAGGTTTTGTGAAAGTCAGGTCCTATGGTTCTGTCTAAAAGTAAATATTTCTCTATATATATTTCAAGGGATGTCTTTACTTGCTGGTAATGTGTTGGGATTCAGCTGCAATAGTGCTGGGAGAGGTACCTGACGGTGCAGCTGGTCTTCTGTCACTTAACTGACTATTAATTGACTTGCAAATGTAACGAAGGATGCAAATCATAAACTTCCATTAATTGTAAATACAAGTTCACCACTTAAAATGGTAATAATGGCAAAAAGCAACAGAAACCAACACAAAATATGCAACTCTTGAGAAAAATGACAGTACTCCCCATATGCCTTAACTGATAGGATTTTTTCAGAGGAAGCAACAAACCGTTATACTCACTTTGTGAAGACCTCAACAAGTTTGGAGTGCCCGTTTTGTAAAGCCAAATCTAATGGTGTTGCTCCATCCTCATTAGGTAATGCTAATGCTGATGACCCTCCAGGCTGGGCTGCTAAGAACTGCGAAAGCTTAACCAACCCCAATTTCATTACAAGGTGGAGAAGAGTTTCTTTATGTTTCGGCTCTGAAAAAACACAGCAAACAAACACAATAATCAGCAACAAAACCCAGCATTTTATTGGCTAGGAAGCATCAAAAGAAACTTGTTATCATCTGCAGAAATATCACAGCTAAGGTTCAGACCTACAAAAGTACTTTGGCAGAATCCATATTTCACTGAAATCAACAGAGTTAGATATTTACTTGCATATGTGGACCTAAACTAGGATATCCAAATACCATCTAATTTCAGCAGTCAAAGAAAACAGTTTGAATTAGATAATCTCAGTATTTCTCTCTCTGTATATGGTATAGCAGCTTTGAGCACAAGAGATGCCCCACTATACTGTAGAAGGTAGTTAAGAGGCAATTTTCCAGCTGCTTTGCATTGCCTCAGCAACACAAAACACCTGGCAGCATGGCCAAGTATATAAATTTAAAAAACAAAAAAAAAAGTGTGTGATTTTTCAAGGCAGGCTACTTATCAGCACAGTAAGAGATCCTTAGAAGCACAGTGAGCCGTCAGCTAACACACATGTGGGTAAAATATAGAGGATAATTCTTGTATCTCTCTTTTCAGAAAGGTGACCTCACCTGCCAATACTTCCTCTCCACTTTTCAGCACATAATCATCAAGCTCAGCTGGATGAAGCTTAAAATAAAAGAGTACACAATGATGACTTAATCACTAGATGCTGATTCTCCACTCCAGACCTTCCCTGGCCTTTATTCAAAGAAGGGTTTATCTGTCTATGTACACTCTCAAACACAAAACCTCTGCAATTTAAAGGCAATAAATAAAATTAAGCTCAAGTGCCACTCAACCAGTTCCTTACACTGATATTTTGGTATGAAGTTAAATATAAGGGTACTTTCACAAGGGTCAAGTATTTAAGGGCAGTTACTCTACAGCTCTCAGAACAACTGGCTGAAATCTATTAGGTTTCCAGTGATTTATGAAATTCCATTGAAATTTATCATCCTGATACAATGGACTTTTATGCTCTGTTACCCAACCAGTTCAGAACACATTATTGAAAATTGTACGCTCCAGTTGCAAAGGAAAGGTGAAGCTCCTGAAGCATATGTAGGTACATGCATACATTTGTGTAAATAATATAGAGTTAAAATCCACAGTAAATAGCTGCCAAATTTCCTGTCTGCATCAATATTTAGAAGATTAAAATGTCTTGTAAAAGCAATTGGAAAACTGTCTTGTAAAAGCTTGGAAGCAATCCCCCAGCAGAGAGAGCAGTTATGTAGCCAAAAAGCTAATAAACATATTTTTCAGAAACACTTATGCATTGAGCAAAGGTATCATATAGTTACAAGCAAATACAATGGCTCATGGCTGACTCCTATTCTGTTTAAGTACTCCCTCTGAAAGTCTCGGGAATATTTATTTTATAGAATCATCAAAAAAACCCCAACCTTGAAGAGTCCTCGAGAGGTCTCTAATCCACCCCTTCCCTTAAGTTAGTATCGGCTCATCCTAAATTGCAAATGAGATGTTTGTCTCATCTGTTCTAAAAACCTTCCAATGATGAGAGGTTTTCATAACCTCCGTAGGCAATCTACACAAGGGATAATTTTACCCTCACAGTTACAAAGATTTGAAATGCCTAACCTAGCTCACCCTTTCTCAGTACAACCCTGCTTCTCCTTGTCCCACCTGAAACAGGCATGAAAACCACTCCATTCCCTTCCCTTTGCAGCTTCCTTTTACATAATTGAAGGTTACTGTCATGTCTCAGCTGACTACATCCTCTCCAGACATCTTAACAGAACAGTTGCTTTCTGCAAAGCTGGACCTTTTGGAACATCCTGATAGCTGGGAGCCAAAATCATTAGCCTCCTTTGAAAATGTTGGACTTGGATATGTTATAATATTAAAAAAACCTGTATCTCCCCATCTCATAAAGCCAGAACGGCAAGAAACCTAAGGAACTTGCTCTACTGCTCCATAGGGAAAATTACTGCGGAATCTCCACTGGTGATCAGTTTTTGCTCTGAATATATGGTGGCAACACATCCAGACCTTTTACCTTTCTGTTTCAAGTGGAACCAAAACTTTCAGAGTCAAATCCCAGAAAACCAGGTCAAGCTTCCTTCAATAAATGAAACAAATTCCAGACATCAGAGTAAGAGGGAGCTTCAGGACACAGACTCTAGCGCTGTAACAGCCAGCAAACCTGCATGTAGTGTCTGAAACCTTTATTTCACTGCAGTTCTAACAGAAGCAGGCACATTAACAAGATGCAGGGGGCATTATTTAAAACAGAATATCATTAAATAGATACACAGTATGTACCTAAGTATTTCTATAACACACCTATATATAAAATGTCACATGTCATTTCTTTTAAAAAAATGCATCTTCAAACTTCCCTCTTACTTGTGGTTAGCCTACATGTGACCTGGTACATTAACCTGCCCATGCAACACTTATTTTCTCCCCGGGTTTTGGGCAATAAAATTGTTTCTAGGTCTCCCCATTTCAGATTCTAGACAAAAATATGTCCAGCTGGACACAGGATCTGCTGCAGGATCCTAGGCCGCAGAGAAAAGTAGTGAACTATAGGATTTTTTCCTGAAAGGTCTGCAAAATATTTCTAATTTCAGTCACTGTGAGACAATGATCATTGTTGCATTTTAGTTACCAACATTAATCATTAACTGTATGAATTATAGTGTTGACATATCTTATTAAGTGAGAAGGCATATACGTTTCAAAGTTTTCAAGTACATGCAACTTTTAAGTCCACTAAATCCAACTGAAGCATTTGCAGAACTGCTTTGCTAAACAGCGATATGGAACCACAGAATGGCTTGGGTCAGAAGGGACCTTTAAAGATCACCTAGTTCAACCCCCCTGCCATGGGCAGGGACATCTTTCACTAGATCAGCCTGCTCAAAGCCCCATCCAACCGGAGTTTGAACACTTCCAGTAATGGGACATCCACAACTTCTCTGGGCAACCTGTTCCAGTGTCCCACCACCCTCATCATAGAAAATTTATTCCTTATATCCAATCCAAATATACCCTCTTTCAGTTTACAATTGTCGCCTCTTGTTCTGTTGCTATAGGCCCTGATAGAAAGTCTTTCTCCACCTTTCTTATAAGTGCCCTTTATATATTGAAAGGCCACAGTAAGGTCTCCCTGGATCCCTCTCTTTTCCAGGCTCACAGGAGAGGTGTTCCAGCCCTCCGATCATTTTTGTGGCCCTCCTGTGGACCTGCTCCAACAGGTCCATGTCTTTCTTGTGCTGAGGACTTCAGAGCTGGATGCAGTACTCCAGGTGGGGTCTCACCAGAGCAAAACCCACACCGTGAGTGAGTGTCTGGCTAAAGTCAGCCCACAGGGAATACAGAGGCATGAGGACCTGACTCCAACCCACAGCTTCAAAGCCCAACCAAGCACTATTCACCAAACACCTTGGTCTGCCTGGATCGGAGACCTTCTTCTATGGAGGAACATTTAAATGAGCAGGGCTCAGGCTTCCCAAAACCCATCCAGAGACAGTGGAAACAATGTCTGATGTGCCACTTCAAAAATGGGAGACCTCAGTTCAACTTCCTCCTCAGCCAGATGGGATGTGAACCCACACACATCTTCAAACTTCCTCTGATCATTCACCTGGTGGGAGCATGCCCTGACCCCTCCATTGCAGAGTAATTGAAAATGGGTCATGGCATGGTGCAGAAGGAAATCCAAGGGATGCTGGGCAGAAGACCAAGAAAGCAGCAGACTGACGACAACACAAAAATCAGCTGGGAGAAGTCTCTGCTGTTTGGACATGGATGCATTTCTCATTAGACTGTCATCAGATGTGAAAAATGATGCTGAGAGCCCGGGTGTCTCCCTCGCTTGGAGAATGCCCTAACCATTCAGACACAGTACAAAAATGTGCGCCAGTATCTTCCCTTTCCCTAGCTAAGTTTATGAATAGAGATTGATAACATCATCTGTGCTTTGCACTGGCCCCATTGGTATTTGTGTACTTCAGACAGCCTTCCCCACAAGGACTTTGGCAGACTCAAGGCCATGCCACCAGTCTGGACCCCAACAGAGCACTGCTGGATGCCAGGCACCAGCACTCCTTTGTGTGGTGCCAGGGATTTCCAGTTTAGACACCCAGGAAATGCTGTGGTCCAAAACATAGCCGCTGAAAAACATTATGCATTTCCAGGTTAAAAAGTTCACTAAAAAATTAGTTTTCAGAATTGCTCCTTGGTCTGGAGTACTTACATTCTGCTAAAGTCCCAGTTTAGACATCAAAGTGGATTCTTTGGATGTTTCCAGCTAGACCATTTTTTCTACATACAGTGTTAATAACCAGCCAGCACAGAAGTCCATCTAATTAAAACACATGGAAATATATCAACCAGTATTAAGCTGTCGTGGTTTAAGCCGAGCCAGCAACTAAGCACCACACAGCCGCTCACTCACTCCCCTCTACCCAGTGGGACAGGTGAAAGAATTGGGGAAAAAAAAAAGTAAAACTTGTGGGTTAAGAACAGTTTAATAGAACAGAAAGGAAGAAACTAATAATGATAATAATAACAATAATAAAATGACAATAATACTAATAAAAGGATTGGAATATACAAAACGAGTGATGCACAATGCAATTATTCACCACTCACTGACCAATGCCCAATTAGTTCCCAAGCAGCAATCCGCCCCCCCCCCCCCCCCCCCCCCCACCCCCCCCC